ATAATTTTAAATTTGGGCATCGCTAGTTTCTAGATAGAAACTTGAGCATGAAATAAATGCTTAGACCTAGTTAACATTACAAATGCTTGCATTTAGGGGCTGGAGAGATGTTGTAGCAGTTAGGAGCACTGGAAGCTCTTCCAGAGGACCCAGGTTCAATTCCTAGTACCCATATGGCAACTCACAACTGTCTGTAACTCTAGTTCCAGGGGATCTGACACCTTCAAACCAATGCACATAAAATAATTAAAAAACAAACAAACAACAAATCCTTGCATTTAGGTTTCATTTGTTTGTTTGTATTTCTTTGACAGGGTCTTGCTACTAGTCTTGGCTGCTTGGAACTTGCATATAGACTTGGTTCTCTTGAATTTATAGAGATCCTCCTGCCCTGTCTCCTCAGCACGGTGTTACAGGCATGAGCCACAGTGCTTGGTGAAACAATGGGACTCTTCCTGATTTTGGAAACATAGACAGAATAATGTGAAGAAAACATTGTTGCTAGTCTCAGAACTACGAAAATGCCCCAAGGACAAGTCAAGACCAGACAGCGCAACTGTGCTAAGGGTGGAGCGACACTGGTGTTGCCCAATTTTGTGGTTGAGGATTACCTAGATAATCTGGCTTTAGAGATGGCTCTTGTGACTTTGTTTTGATTCCTAGGATTTAGGTGGTGGCCTTACCTCTCTTCATGACTCGTGCGATCTATAATAAAGCATCACTGCTGGGGACAATCTGGACAATCTCCATGGCTGGCACACTCAGTAGTCTCTACCTGTCTGGGGCGGGCATGTGTTTGACTCCCTCACTGAGGCCTGACCGCCTGACCAGCAGGTACTACTTCCGGCAGACACGCCTGTGATAAAGAACACAGGAGGCACTGTGAGATTAACAGTAATAAAATAAATCCAATTCCGTGCAGCTCCGCAAACTCATCTGAATATGATCATATGTCCAAGTGCTAACCAGCCTGACCCTGCTTGGCTGCTGAGATCAGATGAGATCAGGTGCATTCAGGGTGGTGTAGCCATAGACTGGTCTTTCGAAAAAAATAGTGGACTGTATTGTCCTCACCCGTCTTGTGCTAGGAAGCGATATGACACCGATATGACCAGATCAAATGGGGTGAATGTCCAGCACTTGTGATGAACTGTGGTAATCACTTTGTAGTTTAAGGTGACCACAACTTCATTTCAAAGCGAATTGAAGTTCAGTTTTGTAGCATAAAATTCTATCTCCCCCTTTGCAATTTCTGTTTTTCCAAGTCAGGGCTTAACACAGCCCAGGCTGGAACTTGCTATGTAGGGACAGATGACTTGAACCTTTGATGTTCCTGCCTCCAATTCCCAAGTCTGTGATGGCCTGCACCAACCACCATGCCGAGCCTTTACAATTTCAGATAGATTTGCACTAACTTCGGCACACAGTGTTTTTCTCTCCTTACAAAGCCAAGAGTGCCTTATCACTCCAAGGAAGCCCGTCATGGCTTCTCTTTGGCATATTCAAACTGTCAGAATCACTACTCACGAACACTAGTTCTTAAATACAAGCACTATGTTGCCCTCAGCTGATGTGATAGCAGAGACAGAAGAGACTGGGGCAAGCCTGAAGAAGCCTTATTTCACTCTTTTAGTGACTTCCTCTGGGTTGACTTTGAAGTCAGATATGAAGGCATCATGGCACATGCCTGTCATTCTAGCACTCACGCGGCAGAGGCATGCAGATTGCAAGTTCCAGGGTAGCCTGGGCTACATAGTGAGTCCTTGTCCCCCCCACCAAAAATCACTCATTTTAAGCTGGCAAACATTGTAGGTTCAGTATTGGAAGACTGGGAGGTTAGCAAGTGGCCCGGTTGGGTGACACCACTAACTGACTAAGGGAAAACAGCTTCGGCATCGTGGACATGTGGATTAAGGAAGGATTCACAGCCCGTAAAGAATGGAGCGCAAGGCGGGAGATCCGGCCATGCTATACAGAATGGTGCAGAATTTACAACTTACGAATCATTTATTTCTGGAACTTCTGATTTAACATTTCAGACTGAGTTGAGTGTGGGAAATGAAACCACCCGCAGTGAGATGTAGAGGAGAGGGTCCGACTATGTGAAGCAGAGAGAACGGTTTAGCTTTCCAGAAAAGGTTGGAGTGACTCTGAAAGCCATGTAGAAGTCTCTAGGCTGTCACTCCTTCTGAGCCCAGGGACAAGGAGGCTTCCTCTAGTTTTCTGAAGGCAGGACCCACAGAGAGCTGTGAGGCCTCTGTAAGGGCCTCATGAGTTAACAGATTTACTACTTAAATTAACTACTTTAAGATATTGCAAAATGGATGAATGCTGGGCACCAGGTCAAGTTGCTAAATACTCGAAAATGTCACCTCGAGGTGTGGAATCTGAGGCCTCTGTGTAGAGGGGATTCTCTCTGGCTGTGTTCTGTGTGGTTATTGAGTGATCCTAAGAGTAGTCGGTAGGAAAAGGGTTGGTCTCACTGGTCAGTATACAGACTTCCATTTGATCAGTTTTTAGTTTTGAAACCTGGGCCCTCGCAAGGCGGTGGTTGAACACACCTTTAATCCTAGCACTCGGGAGGCAGAGGCAGGCAGATCTCTGTGAGTTCCAGGCCATCCTGGTCTATAGAGCGAGTTCCAGGACTGGCTCCATAGCTATTGAGAAACCCTGTCTTGAAAAAACAAAATAAAACAAACAAACAAAACAACCTGAGCCATCAATTTTCCCACCAAATGTATCTTCTTTTTCACAGAACTCGAGATGACTTAAAGCCAGAAATCTTGGTCTGAATGTATAGACTTTCACCCAAACCCCTGGTCTTCCCTTCCATGCCCTTCCCCTGATGTGGTACCTCCAATTTATAAGCCTTTCTGGGGTTGTAAAGCATGCACTGTTACCCTCAGTCCACTCTGAAACACTGGGAAATTAACGCACGGCCCTGCACATAACAGGTAAGTGCTCCGCTAAAGAACCCCATCAACGGCCCTTAGAGACTTCATTTTACATGGGATCTAAGTTGCCCAACTGTTCTTGGATTCGTCATCCTTTTGTCTCAACCTCCAGAGTTTGGGAACACAAGCCTAAACTACCATACCCAGCCTAAACACTTCACTTCTGACACTCCTTGTGTTGTACACTGTATAAAAATGTATAGGTGTGATTTGTGTAATAAACGGCCAGTAGCTAGACAGGAGGTATAGGCAGGAATTCTGGGAAGAGAGAGAACTCTGGGAAGAAGGCAGAGTCACCAGCCAAGCTTGGAGGAAGCAGCATGGGCGGTACAGAGAGATGAGGTAACAAGCCAAGCGACAGACTATAGATTAAAATAAATGGGTTAAAGTTATAAGAGCTAGTGGGACAAACCTAAGCTAAGGCTGAGCTTTTGCAATACGTCTCTGTGTTGTGAGCTGGCAGCCCAAGGAAAAACCTGTCTACACCCTTATACTCTGCTTGGATCCCATTTCTTTTTTTCCAAAAAGACTATTTTAACATCCCTATCCACTGAAGTGTCTTTCCCACTCTTGGGGCTTGAGGGTTTTGTATTTTCTCAGTTTAGACAGTTTTAACAGGAAACAAAGCCCAAGCGTTAAGTGTCTCAAACTGAAATCAAAATTTCATTTGAAGTGTATCTATTTTTTAAATTGAGAATTTTGGCTGGTGAGATGGCTCAGCAGGTCAGGTGTTTGCCACCAAGCTTAACAAGTGACCCAAGTTCAACATGCAGATTCCGCATGGTGGAAGGACAGGATCAACTCCTAAAAGCTGTCCTCTGATGCACACACATATGTGCATAGAAACAAATGTTTAAAAAGTATTTCAAAATCAGTGATATAACTATACACAATTTCACATGAAAACATGTTCATAATATATTCCTTTCTTTTCAATATCTTTGGTTTTTCTGGTTGAAAAGGAAAAAAAATACATTTTAGGGCTTGGTTTTGTTTTTTTGAAAAAAAGTAATGAATGTGCATTTGATGATGATCCAATTGATAACCATGTGAGGCCCGCATAATCCTAACCTCCAAACATGTCGGCTTCTGCTCTTTGATCAAATCTGCCATTTACTGATTCCATATTAATAGAAATATGATAGAAAAAACATATTAATAGACATTAACTCTGGACAGGGATTCATGACTTCTTCTTAACAAGCACTTTCATATTCTATTTTTGCCCCGTTACTTTTATTTATTGTATGTAAGAGAGGGTGGATGGCAGAGGACCAACGTCAGGAGTTGCTCCTCTCACCGCACCACGTGGAACCTGGGAACTGAACTCAAGTGGTCAGGTTCAGCCGCAAGGCCTTTTCCTACTAGGCGATTTCTAAATAAATATACTATTACTAGTTTGTTTGGTTTTTAAACAATTTCAGAGAAGTAACCCTTATAATAATAATAGTAAACCTGTGTATGTGTGTCTGAGCACATGCGAGTGCCTGCCCTGGAACCAGTATTACAGTGTTTTGAGCTGCCCCATGTGGGCCCAGGAACCCGACCTCGCCTCCCTCCACCT